TTAATTAGGAGGACAAGCGCTCCTAAAAAGAAAAGTAAGCATAGAGCCATGTGTATCAGTATATTAGATCCGTGCATGAAGTCTTAAAGAGACAGCAGCCTAAATAAACCTGCTGCTGTCTTTCATTATCCAGTGTTATTTTACAGTTGAGTAGATTATAGTTAGACCTAACTGAAAACATTTCTTATTATTGTTTTTGTTTGTGCTATTGATTGTCATTAATTTATTTGTTCCTATTTTATTATTTACTATTTACTTGTCTTTTTTAGTTAAAATAAATTCAATTCTGAGTGCACGTGATTCTTGGGTGAGGAGGGGGCGTGGTCCATGAGAAATAGTCCTGCCACCACAGCTGGAAAAAATCCTAGAGGAAACACTGCATGCATTTAGTAAAATTAGAAAAATGCATTTACAAAGGTGAAAAGAAAATGCCCCTGTCAGCTCGTATTAGGAAGGCTAGTTCTTGATCAGAATTTTTTATTATTGATTAGAAGGTGCTGTTAAACTGGGTGTGTGACGGGTATGGCTGTGGAACGGGGTTTGGCCGAGGAAACATTTTCAGTCAAAATATATATATTTTTCTTTAACCCCATAATTTCCGCACATCAGGGAGCCACTATCAATATGCGGGGTATTGAAATCGGATTTGAATTAGCGCTCGCTGTTCACTTTCGATTTCGCGATCACGCGCACTCTGTGTAAAGGGAGCACATCTTATCAACATGCCTAATAATTATGCACGCACTGTATTCTGATCATATTTTTTCCAAGCACATTTGACCAATTCCAAACCACATCAATCTTAATAACTACTGTTATTTTTGTATTTAATCATTTAGAAGTGATATATAATTGTCCATGAAGGCTGGAAATGAAAAACTCCTTATTAAGGTGTGCAGAATTATTAGGCAGGTTTTCTTTTATGGATGAAATGAGCCAAAAAAGAGATTTAACTCAGACTGAGAAGTCAAAAATGATTAAATCCCAGTGAGAAATATGAAAAACTAATGCAATACAGAAATGTCAAAGTTAAGGCATGACCATTGGTCAGCAAACTGCTCATTGGGTCAGCGGGGTCAGAAAAAAACAGGTGGAGAAGAAAAGACGCATGTTAACTGCAAAATAATTCATAATTAATGTGAAGAATTAAGTGTGAAACCACCAGGAACCTTGTAGTCTCCAGTGCCACTATTTTCCAGAACTGCAACCTTGAGTCTCCAGAATTACAAGGTGTCAGGTTCTCAGAGACTTTGCTTGGGTAAAAAATCCTTAAAAATGACCCCTACTTAATAAAAATATCATGCTGAAGTGTCGTGACTATTTTTATAGGCTTAATGGACAGATCAGTTGAGAGTGACTCTTGAAGGACCAGCACCACATCCTCTTGTACCGCTGTTTGAAGAATTGATCTTCCAGAATCTGGCAGTAAGTTTTAGGAGCTCATTTTGCAGGATAGGAGATGGACTAAAAATGAACTCCCAAAACTTACTGCAACATGGCGCTAAGGAGAAAAATGTAGAACTGCGCTAAGGATAGAACTTGAAAAATGGGAAAAACAGCTTAGTGAAAAGCGTTTACAGTTTAAAAGCAAATAGAAAGTCCTAAAGTCCTAA